CCCATGTGTATACACACACACAGTCTGAATACAGCCACTGCCTCACAGTGGGCCTCTGCCTGGTGTCTCGTTGGACTAAAAACTAGAGTGTGCTCCACTTCTGGGAGCTCAGTAAACTCACGGAAATTGGACCACCCCGTGCGTTTTTATCCAGCTGTATTCTTAATTACTGTTTGCATTTGCAGTGTTTTGTAGCCTGAGCATTATTCCATAGAAGAGGCTATCAAATGGGGCATGAACAATTCTTAAGTCCATGGAAACATCAGGAAAGGAACAGCAGCCAAATTCGCTACCACAGGCTGACTCAGGACCCTAGAGGGCAGGGTCGAATTGCTCTGGAAGGTTTCTGGGACTTTAAATCAGGGGTGCTCACACTTTTTTAGCATGTGAGCTACTTATAAAATGATCAAGTCAAAATGATCTACCAACTACAAAAATGCAAAGCATATATTTATTTTTATTTATTTATTACATTTATTCATAAATGTTTTGAGAATTCTTTCTATGTACAATGTATGTTTATGTACCTTGCATAACTGCATGAGTCCATATTGCACAACACAACACAATTAACTATGTACATTTTTTGGTCATGACCTGAGTTTACCCTGATGACTTGCACTGAATGGAATGAGCCAGGGGTGAATAGTCCGGACAGTAGCTGCTGACAGCCAGCCTCAAGCACACTTCCAAATGATCATCAGTCATGGGGGAACGGTACTTGGACTTAATGATCTTTATGTGGGAAAAGGCTGACTCACATAAATAAGTAGAGCCGGATCATGCAGTCAAGGAGGTAGCACATTTTCTCATGTTTGGGTACTTTCCCTCTGCGAGTAAGTTCCAGAACTGTGCATGCGCTCTGGACTTCAGCTGAATGTCGGCTTGTAGTGTCAAAATCTCCCATTCCGTGTGAAAGTGATAGGTTTTTGTCTTCTTACTTGGTCCAGCTCCCCCACTCATTTTAATACCCTTTCTTAACGTTTAAGAGGAAAAAACCAAGGTCTAAAATTTGGCGATAACTTAGCTCGTCAGTTTTGCTGTACTTAGCGCAGTGTTTGCGCATGCGTTTGACACCCAAGATTGCACCTGATTGGCTGTGCTGTTTATCAGTTAAGTGACTGGACTGATGATAGTTTTCAATGCCATGCGATCTACCCACAGTACATTTGCGATCGACTGGTAGATCACGATCGACGTACTGAGTACCCCTGCTTTAAATCGTACAGTAGACAGCGTCTTCTTTCACAGAGCCACTTGTGGGTTTGAACCACTGACCTGTGGTTAGCGGTCTAAATGCCCAAGGCACACGTTTGTGACAGTCACAGCTCTTGTAACTCTCGGAGGGCAAGGGGCTGCCCACGTTACTTGGAGCAAGGTAAACAGGAACTGCGGGGTGAGGTCTTTGTTACAGTTCACGTCACGGCAACGCCGCCCGTGTTTTCCAGGCTGCAGAGGATGTCAACGTGACTTTTGAAGACCAGCAGAAGATCAACAAATTTGCCCGCAATACGAGTAGAATCACAGAGCTGAAGGAAGAAATAGAAGTTAAAAAGGTACTGGCAACGTTTCTCTTGAGACAAGTTTTACAGATTCTTTACAATAGTTTTCTTTTCACTAGCAGCCGGCGCATTGGATGAGTCACGAGCGTTTAGGTTCCACGGGGCTCGTGGGTGAGCACCCAGAGCCTGCTCCAGGGTGGCGGGAGCGCCGGCCGGCCGGGAAGCAGTGCGAGGCAGCAGATGGGCTCTGAGGGCTTGGGGCCTTGGCCGAGTTCCTGGAACGGGGCTCAGCACCTCACTTCCTAGACCTGCCTGGTGACGGAACCCTGCTGGTGAGGGAGTTGCCACTGTCACCCACCCTCAGCTGGCCTCTCCCCGCACAGCTCCCTAGCTCAGGTGCATCTGGTGGGTGGCCTCCAGGTCATTATCTGTTCCCCCATAGCAGGAGAGCCCGAGACCCGTCTGCTTCCTTGGTTGTGCGCTTACTTCACTTCTGCCTCACCAACCAAATGCAGCTGCCGTCACGAAGTTGCGACGCTTAGCGGCCCTAGGACTTAGTAGCACTGCCCCTGTGGGTTTCCGAGGCTGCCAGTCTGTACAGGAGCAGCACGCCTCATCTTTCTCTCATGGAGCCGCCTGTGTGTTCAAACTGCTGACCTTGCGGTTAGCAGGCCAACTTGTAACCCACTTCACTACCAAGGGTCCTTCTGGTCCTGTAAGCAGGCTGAAGGCACCTGGTTACATCTTAAGGATTGCTTGGGAGAGGCACCTGAAGGCCTCCGAGAGCAGTCTGAGTGCCGTGTGCCGGCCCCTTCCTGGGAAGCGTGGTGGCCCCCAGACAAGGGCGTGGCTGGTAACTGAGAGGTCCGCAGGTGGAACCCAGCGGCAGTCCCAGCGAAGAACAGCCTGGCCACCTGCCCCGGGAAGGCTGCAGTCTGGGGAGATGCTGTGCAGTCCTCTCTCCCACACATACATACATGTCCCTGTGGTGCCCGTGACAGCCCCTCTTCCAGTTTCTCCAAGAGTGGCTGTCCCCGCATGAGCATGGGCTTCAGCCTGTCGGGGCGTTCATTGCTCTTTGCTTTTGGGTCCTAGAAGCAGCTGCAGAACCTAGAAGACGCCTGCGATGACATCCTGCTGGCCGAAGACGACTGCCTCTTGATTCCCTATCAGGTTGGCGATGTCTTCATCAGCCACTCCCAAGAGGAAACGCAGGAGATGCTGGAAGACGCGAAGGTATGCCGAGTCTGCCTCTGGGAGTCTCACTTTGAAACAGGGATTTATACTGTGTATGAAAAACCATGTAAGGCCTCCTCCCTGGGGGACGGACAATAGAAAAGTGGGTGAAGGGAGACAGCAGACAGTGTAAGAGATGACAAAATAATAATTTATAAATTATCAAGGGTTCACGAGGGAGGGGGAGCGGGGAAGGAGGGGAAAAATGAGGAGCTGATGCAAGGGGCTTAAGTGGAGAACAAATGTTTTGAGAAGGATGAGGGCAACGAATGTACAAATGTGCTTTACACTATTGGTGTATGTATGGATTGTGATAAGAGTTGTATGAGCCCCTAATAAAATGATTTAAAAAAAAGAAAAACCACAAGGGACAGAGAATGAGGCACTGGCCTGCCTCTACTGGGCTCGTGCTGCATCTCAGTTTTACGTCGCCCCACCGTGGCTCCCAGAGGACAGCATGCCGCTGTCCCCGTGCAGAGAGCAGTTTCATGCTCGCTCAGGCGAAGCACAGGAAGTGCTGGTCTAACTCCAGAAACGAGTGTGCTCAACACACACAACAGTCTAGAAGGGAAAAGAAAGATGGCGTGTCATCCCACGGCCCAGAGATGCTGCTGGTGTTAGGTGCCATCCAGGTGCTCAGCGGCCCGGGCGCGGCAGAAGGAACCACATTCCGGCCCTGCGCCATCCTCCCTTCGTGGCCATGCCCGAGCCCCTTGAGGTGGCGACTGTGCCGGTTCATCTTGTCACGGCTCTTCCTCTTTTTTGCTGACCCTTTACTGTACCAGGCATGAGGTCCTTCTCCAGGGACGACAGGCCCCTCCCGATAACGTGCCTTAGGTAGATGGAGTGAAGTCTCACCACCCTCACTTCTAAGGAACATTCTTGCTGTACTTCCGCTAAGACAGATATGTCTGCAATCCGTGTGACTTTCAGTATTCCTCACCAACCCCATAGTAAAAATGCTTCAGCTCTGACTCCGCCTGTCCAGCTGTCCCATACATCTGAGGCGGTGTTGAAAGGACCGTGGCTTGGGTCAGCAGACCTCAGTGACCCACCTTTGCTTTTTAACGCTTTAAAGAGGTTTTTGGCGTGTAACTTGCCTGGCACAGTCCGCCAACAGCTTTCTTGACTGCTGTTTCCATGGGTGTCCTGATTGTGGGTCCTTCACACCCTCTTCTTTTCTCTGTCTTTCGCGATGTGGCTGACTGCAGCAGGCGGATCTTTGGTTTATTTATGGGCGGGGGACTTTGAGTTAATCTGACCCCCCTGGGTGTTTCACAGGACTTCCAGGCAGTTCCTGCAGAACGTGCCACCTTGCTGCTGTTACCGCAGTGCGGGTATGGGTTGTGGGTTGTGGACAGTGGGTTGAACCAGAGCGAACAGGTTGGAAGCCCCGTGTGATCCATGCATTTTCACATGTCCCGTGTTCTCTTTCACCCTTTGGTCAGTTACTTTCTAGTTGGAAGTATTTTATCAATTTGCTTAACAAAGTATTTCCCAGAGTTGGCAGGACTGACCCCTGGAGGGCACTGGAAAGAGCGGGGGGCACAAAAGCAGGTCCCTACACCTGACCCTGGGCTCTAGGCCAGAGCATGGACGTCTTTTGTTGACATGGGGGAGGGGTGCAGTGCTGAGTCCTGTTTTCTGAAAGGTGGGTGGAAGGCCAATGCATTTGGGCCCTGGTAACTCATCAGACCCCCACCCGCCTCGATGATGACAACAGCTCACACCCAGCAGCATTTCATTCTGTCACACGCGGGGGCTTCAGAAAGTTGGGGGAAAACCTACATTTTCATTCAGTTTTTTCACCAACTTTTTGAAGTCCCTTCCCCGTCTTTGGACGGGTCATGCTGAGTCAGAGACAGCCAGCTCATAGGGCAGCAGCAGCAGCTGGACCTCCTCTCTCCCGCCTGGCAACATGCCTGCCAGCTCTGAGCCACGTCCTCACCTCACGGCTTGCCTGCTGAGCCGCCCCCAGAGCTGGGTGGGCGGTACAGGCCGGGAGCTGCCTCTGGGCGAACCACTGACCCGATCACTGGCAGAGCAGCCTCGCCAATTCTTGCTCCTGACCACAGGGGTCGCTCTTCCCGGGGCTCTGCTTGTTCTGTGCCCTGTTTAGGAACCTAGCCCAGCAGGGGCTTGGCTGTGGCCCGTGGGCAGAGCTGTGCTGTCACAGTCCATAGGGCACACAGTCCCCCTCATCCTGAGGCCTGGTAGCTAATAAACTTCTGGCCCGATTCTGGTCACAGGCAGTTTGTTTAGATCAGGGGTGTCAAACTGGCAGCCCACAGGCCACATATGGCCCCCAAGGAAATTTTTTGTGGCCCATGATGCTCTGAAAAAAAATGAAAATAGAAAAATATTATTATGAAGAAAATAGTGCTTAGGGGAGATCGAGGCAATACCATACACATAGTTTCCTCATTACATTTTATTTCAGAGCATCGTGGGCCACAAAAAATTACCTTGGGGGCTGCATGCAGTCCGTGGGCCAGCAGTTTGACACCCCTGGTTTAGATTAGTATTGGCATCGTGAGTTTACCTAGGATTCCTGGTGGTGCAAGGGTTACATTTCGGGCCACTAACCTGCAAGGTTGGCAGTTCAAACTCACCATCCCCTCTGGAGAACGATGAAGCCGTCTGCTCCCATGAAAAAATTACAACCTCAGAAACAGGGTCGCTGTGAGTCGGAGTGGCCTCGGAGGCAGTGGAGTTGATTCGGTGGGTTTTTCATTTCCTGTCGTTTCTTAATTCATTTTGTGGGAAGTTGGGAGAAGCTGTGTCAGAGACCCAACCCCAGTCATGGTTTGCCAGACGTCATACATACATGTCATTTTATTGAAAAAGAAATCCCCTACACTTGTTGCTGAACTCCTAGTGAACGGTATCAGACCGGGCAGAACTGCCACGTAGGATTTGGGCACAGACTAGCGCGTCTGTCCTCTGCAGGGGCTGATGTGTTTGGCCCTCCCAGCCTCTCAGGTGGAGCTGTGCACGTAATCACTGCAGCCCGAGGGCTCCCATTTTTAAATTCCAAAACCAACCCCGCTGCCCTGGACTCGGTTCTGACTCACAGCGGCCCTGCGTGGATGGTGTTCCTGACCCTGCGCGCCGGGCAGGAGCAGGCCGCCTCGGCTTTCTCATCTTGGAGCCTGTGGGTCTGAACTGCTGACCTTGCCGTGAGTAGCCCCGTGCTTCATCCCTCATGCCACCAGGACTCCTTTTTAAAAACTATTATGAGAAGATAATTCAGGAATGAGTTTCTTCTTAACGCTTGTGGTTTAAGTCAGCAGAAGCTGCAGGAAGAAGCTTGGCTTATCCTGGGAGAAGTTCTTGAATATGGACCCTGAGTTAAAGTGGCCATGCGTAGACTCTGGTCTGGCTCATTACCAGTGCTGTGCGCCGGCTGGCCAAATTTAGAAACTTCCTAACCTGAAATTTCTCCCCTCTGCTTCAGACCAGATGTTTAGACATTATCCAAGTGAAGAGCATTAACGTGCCCTTTTCTTTTCCCTCCCCCAGAAAAACTTACAAGAAGAAATCGATGCCTTAGAATCCCGAGTGCAGTCGATTCAGCGGGTGCTAGCAGACTTGAAAGTCCAGTTATATGCAAAGTTTGGCAGTAACATAAACCTTGAAGCCGATGAAAGTTAAACCTTTTATAATACCTTTTCTTTTTTTAATTTGTTTAATAAACCTGAATATTGTTTAAAATGATAATTTCCCTTCTTCAAATGATAATGGAAAGCAAAACTTTTTTTAAAATTTTTCATTTATTTAATGGAAACTTGCCTATTTTCACAAGTCTTGCTTATTTATTTTATATTTTTAAAAGAAGACAGTATTCATCTATGTATTTTGCATAACGATTATATCAAGTCTAGGGGCTGTATGTCATGTTATTAAAATCAGTTAAGCAATCTG